CACAGATTGCGAAATAGCATCTTCCTGTGCTGGGCTTAGGGGGTATTGTTTTTGATAGGGAGGTTTGGCTCCGGGCAGGAGATTCACTTTGACTGGGGGCACAGAGAGTCTGCCTGTATCTGTCTTCCCTGTAGCCCATAAGGAATCAGGGACTGAGGACAAGTCAATGGTAGGTTCTGGCACATGGCTGGGCATAGTGAGAGTTGCCAGAACATTTGAAAGAGATATCATTTGTTTGTCCTCTAAAGGCACAGACAATGTTACTTTTCCAGTGGGGCTATACAAGGGCAGTAGAGTCATGTAGCTTCAATTTCAACTTGTGGGTCAGGGGAATGTCATTTTCGATACCATCTACCCCTACACATGATAATACATCATTAGATTTCTCATACGGGAATACATATTTTTCCTGTAACATTGATTTAGCAGCGCCAGTGTCCAACAGGAAAGGGACTATTCGGTCCCCAGGCAGTGTAACATTGATAATGGGTGAGGGTCCTGCAGAGTCAGGGATATTGATGATATGTAGGGACACTGGTTTGCCAATTTCCTATTGGGGGGGGGAGGTGGTGGTGGTGGTGGTTGGCTGTCATGGGAGTTATCATTAGAATCTTGGGGTTTTCTATTTTTAGGAGGACACCTGCAGTTACGTTTAATGTGTCCTTTCCTGCCACAATTCCAGCAGTCTACCTGCCTTCTGTCCCCATCAGCTCTAGGGACAGTTACAGCCATTAGAGGTGTGCTCCTCTTTCTAGTATTTAGATTAGCTTCCACTCCCCTAGCCACCTTCACCAGATCACCATAGGTTAAACTTCTCCACTCAGGTCTAGCATTTTGGAGACCAGTCCTTATGGGTATGTGGATACCATCCATGAAGCAGTTAATAAGCAGTCTGGTCGAAGTGGTTACAACATCAGTGTAACCCAATGCCTCCCAAGCCATTTGTAGTCTGGTGAAGAATGTTTCTACAGATTCATCTTTCCCTTGTAGTATGTCTCCTAATTTATGGGCTAGTTCCTCTGTCTTTACCTTAGCCCATTCTCTCATTGCAGTGACATAGCATGCTCCAGACGCAGACTTGGTTCTAAACCATTCATCTGTTTGCATGTTGCTTTTTCTGAGGTTATCTTCATGGGCATCTGTATATTTAGCAATTATTCTAGCCAAAATGGGACCAGCTTTTAGTGCCACAATCTGTTTTAAATCCATCCAAGTACACTGGTAAGTAGCTTGAATTGTGGATAGAGACTGGACTAGAGCTAAGGGGGCCTTTTCAACATCTGGCAGCTGCTGTATTATTGCCAGTTGTTCACTGGGTGTCCAGGGCTTATATTCTTCCCAGTATTGGATACCTGAGCTCGGCTGTCTGTGCTCATGGTATACACTCTCAACTTTGGGTATCATGGGAGTAGAAAATTGTGGAGCTAATGGCCCCACTGGGGTATCTGTGGGGGCAACTAGGGGTTCCTTTAAGTCTGGACTACCTTCCTGCTCTAATGAACCCATAGGTCTTACTGGGACACTATATGAAGTCCCACTGCGTAATATTACTGGAAAGAGAGGTTTTGATCTCTGTAAAAGGGAAATCGCCTTGTCTTTTGGGACCAAAGGAGTCCCTGCAGTATCCTGGTAAAGGGGTGGGTTTGCAAGATTTTTCCCAGGATCTTGCCTACTCTGGGACCCTAGAGGTCCAAAACATTGATAATATGGTACACCTTTCCTGGTGGTTTCTCTACAACCACATTTAGTTAATTCAACAGCAGTATCATGCCATTTTTGTGCGACTTCTACTAAGTCATTATCTTCTAACCAACCTCTGTAATTTGCCATAAATTCACTCCATATATGTGGGTCTAGAGTGCCTTCTGAGGGCATGCCAGCTTTCTTAAGTAACCTCTTAACATTCTTAATTGCTCCTTGTCCTTTGTGATGCTTGACAATAGTCAAAGCCGTAAATCCCCCTTGGGTACTTTCAGAGCTACCCATCTTAAAACTTGTAAGGGTTAATTACTTCCTTACACAAGACAAACTGTACAAAAACAGTGTATTTAAACACTTAGGACCGCTGCAGTGGAATTTTCACAGTTTTTGTCTTCTAAACACAGATCAGGAGATCTGCCCTTGGAGGATTCTAACTCAAATTATAAAACAAATGACAAGGCAAACAATAAAAATAACTTACAACCCACAGTTATATTCCACTATCTCAAGATTCCTTTCACAAGACATAACACAACCTCCAACTGAATATAACCATAATACCACAGAAAACAAGTTCTTTAGATCAGACGTTTTTAAGTCGTTCTTTACCCAGACAGACTAGTAGGACGTGGATCTGAGAGCGAAATTGATAAAGGTAGAAAAAAGTTTTTCTTACCTTCCTGTACAGCTGATTTCACTGTCAGAGGGACGTCCACCTGTACGCTAGTGTCCGAGTCTCTCGACCGTCAGATCCCGGGGTCACGGCACCAAATTGTTGTGGATCAGAAATGTTGATCTTTGTTATATTCAGAGGAAGCCCAAATTGTTGTTACAAGTGCACTTGGAGAAGCGAGAATTAGACACCAGACACCTGTTGGTATTCAAAATAAGCCTCTGACGTTTTATTCATCAGCTGGGTTTTATACATTAAAAAGTAAGTGCTTACGTGCAAATACTCTTAGAACAGTAATAGGAAGAGAATACAGATAAGACATAGGGATGAGCGTCATGTACCCATAACAAATAAGTTTCAAGGTATGAGAGAACAAAATGATTAGAGCAGAGACATCTTAGGTGGGGGCTCTCTGCTCCCGGAACTTAGACATATATGGTCTTAAGTGTTGTTTAAGCATCAAGCATTTCCTGAGTCCAAGTTAGCCAATTTTAATATAGGATATCATTATATGACACCTATAAGCTTGAGCCTTGGAATCAAGATAAATTCTATCACATACGCACACAAAACAGAACAAGTAAAAAAGGCATGTGACCAATGTCTAAAAAATAGTATGATACAGCGAATTTAAAAATAAAAAAGCAGCGACTTTTAAAGTGTAGTAGCTATAAACACACATATAATAAACCATAAATAGAAAAAAGGTGCGCTGTGTCTTTAAAAACAGACTAAAATATTAAAGTGCAGAATATTATATAAGTGTTCTGTGTTATATTGCTTCACAATCAACAATATTATGTGCAAAAAACAGCAATTCCTTGCTAATGGAATAAAGTGCAAATACAAATGCAAATAAAAAGCTCCAGTGGTTATAGTGGATAATAGAGAAAAGCACTTACATTAAATTACTCACTTATTAAATTCTCAACAAGGATATGTTACCTCCAAAATTCGCAGAAACATATAATACAAACCAAAAAAAAAAGAAAATATATAGTGTAATACAGTATAAACAAAAAATATATGAAAAGGCTAATGTTAAAATCCCACTCACAAGTGGAGAGCAGAGAAGCCTGCTCTAACTGTCAACGCCTGTATATGCATTCCACTCCAATCAGTAGCAGCAGCAAGGAAAAGAGTATGGTAGAAAGTGAATTTAAACTTCTTTAATTTGGAAAATATCCATAAAAACACTCTCTGCCCATTACTTTCCAACTCGACCTCCTTCCCTGTGCTCAGATACAGTCCCTCCTGTTCACTGCCAGCTTAGCGAAGACACGGGCTGTGAATGTCCCAAACACTTCCTGGTGGGCGGAGCTACATCCGTGATGTTGTGCGTTATAATGGGATGCTACATGATGACTACATGATGACGTGTTTCGTCTGGAATCGACTTCCTCAGATCATTCCCCTGCTGCTACTGTCTTGCTTTTAAATACATCCATGATGGGTGTGTCAAAGTCCTATTTTAACTGTTCATTGGTTCCTGCTCAAAACCTTATGTAAATGAGTTCTTAATGAGTGTTAATCCCAAATCATAGCGGTATATCCACTATACATTCAATTGTGATATATATGAAAACATTAACATTATGTAATATAACATATCATTAATACCCTGCTAGTGTGAAAGGTGGGCAAATTACATTTTTGGGGGATCTCCTCACTACATTTAGGCAAGGGGGAAGAATTCCTCCAAACTTTTTCGAGGTGGACAATGCCATGCCCACACCACCACCTTATGTCATTAATACCCTGCTAGTATGGAAAGTGCGCAAATAGGTTCAGATTTATTACACTGAATCATGAAAGAAACAGAAATAATTATTCATTGGCCGTTTTGTGTATTTTGTAATACATACATGTGATGTTTCACGAGTTCAGGATTACGAACGAATTGCTGATCACCCAAAATTAAAATAAATCACCATTTGTCTGAAACTGAATGCACAAATCTAAAATGGGTATTCACTGATAGTGTCTCCTATATCAAGAAATGCAATGTATCACTTCCTAACTATTGACATTTGTTGGAGACAATGCTCTTTTGGAGTGATATTAACATTTAAAGTGTCTCTGAAAATCTTTACCACACAGTAGTATATCCGTCTTATGAACAATAATATATATTTTTTAAATATTGTATAAGATTGCTAAAGAATATCAAGAAATATCTGTTCATTTTTTTTTTTTTTTAACAAACATTAATTTATTTATTTAAGTATATATTGTTAAAAATACTAGAACCCTGCTTTCTGCTGATTTCTCTTTCTTAGCGTAAGAATGTAAGCTGTATTCACAGGCCACTGTGTTGCCCAAGGTGGAAAATAGTTGCATACACACTAACAGGTATCTCAAATCCTCTATCTGATAGACTACATATTTTCTCTTTTGTGAGATCTTCATAATTTAGTTTGTGAAATCAAAAGAAAGGAGAAGTTTGTAAAATTTCTCATTTAAAATATGTAATGGAACATTTCACATAATGTGATGCAACTACCAAGTTCCCATGTTAATTAGCCTGAAATAATATGTAGCCATTAACTACTAGTGATGTCCTGAACTGTTCGCCATGGTTCGCGCGGACTCCAGTCAGCTGACACATTCCAGCCAATCAGCAGCAGACCCTCCCTCCCAGACCCTCCCACCTCCTGGACAGCTCACTAAGAATGCAGTTTCAAAATAGATGCTGTCCAGGAGGTGGGAGGGTCTGGGAGGGAGGGTCTGCTACCGATTGGCTGGAATGTGTCAGCTGACTGAAGTCCGTGGCGAACCGTTCGTGAACCATTTGGCGAACAGTTCGGGACATCACTATTAACTACACAAGTACTAGAAAGATAGTCTTGTATTGTTTGATTTTGTTTTTTTAGGTTTTTTTTATTATGTATCCTCTGAGTATTTTTGAAGCATAAAAATGCATTATCATGGTTTGAATAAAATAAAAAAAAACATTTCTTAAATTAAAATTCTTTCAGTTTTCATTTACTATGTAAGTATGATAATTCAATTTGGAAAAATCACTTAATCTGAAAATTAATTGGCAGTTTGGCTAGTTTAAATATTGCCATAAAAATGTTTGAGAAAACAGATTTAGAAAAACCATAAAAGGGAGCAAATACAGTCCAATCAGCATACTGAAAAATATTAAAAAAAGAAAATATTATGCATACTGTGTATTTTGCAGTAAAAAATTTCCTGCCATTTGGTTCACAGATCAAGTGATAAAAAGTGACCCGAGAGGGGAAAAAGGAGGAGCAGTAAAAAATAATTATATATATATATATATATATATATATATATATATATATATTTGTATTTTTTTTATTAAGAGGACTAATTAATTGAGTATATATAATGAGTTTAGACATTAAGACAAAAACAATCTTAAAAAATATGAATAATATACAAATAGATACAAATGTAGATGACATCAAACAAAGAGTGTAAATAATCTAGTGGTACAGATAAAGAGTAAAAATTAATGATGTTGCATAAAGAGTAAAAAGTAATGATTGCATATGCATACCTCAAAACCGAATAGATATTAATTAAAGTATAAATGGAAAAAGCAAGGTGATGTGCACACACAAAGAATGTAATTACCTTTTTTGTATATAATATAAAAATTCTTCTGGCACGGTAATTAGGATGTCCTATATAAAATAAACACATGGAACAGACATAACGTAATCTGTTAACACAATGTGAAAAATAGATGTTTTAGAATAGGAACACTTACAATTTTCAGAGCCCTTAAAAGTTGGCTCGGAACTTATAGGGCTTTAGTGTCACCTCAAGGACACAGGATGAATTCCTCCAAAGATGGAAGTCCCAATGATATAGTGTTGCTTTAATAAGGAACTTTCCAGAGAAGGTAAAAAAATAAGTATATTAATTTATTAGTAATACATAGAAATAAATGAAATATTAGCATAACACGTTTTAACTCCACAAATGGGTCTTCCTCAGGTGAAGGTACAAATACAAATGCCTACAGGCATCATTTTATACCCTAAACATGAAATCAATAGCTTGCACATGGGTACATATTAAAATAAAATCCTCCCATTGCCAAATGTGGTCTGGACCACATACAACTTGCCACATCCAATATGGAGATGTATCCAGTTCACAGACATAGTTCATACCCCTCCCAACATGTCCACCAAACTTCCGGATCCTGTGAGTGTTTCAATCTTTTGTATTTCATAATGCAGCTGTTCGGAGAGGTCGTTGCGTCACTTCCTGCGAGGTTCTTTCGTCTTTACTGAGTGGGTGTCAGGATTACAAGTTGATCCAGCATGCAGAACTGTGTCACACCTAGGACTAAGGATAACGTATAACCGGACCTTAGAATGGCCGGACTTAACGTATCCAAGAATAGTCAAAATACTTGCCGAGGTTAGGAACACAGAATCAGACACAACGATGAGGGAAAGCCAAAAGTCAAAGATTCCAGAATTCAGGGAAGTCAAAACGAAGCCAAAGTCAAATACCAGAAAATCAAGATCAGGAATGCACTCTCGGATTACCATCAGGATAAAACCATGACAGGGCAATGAGCAAAAGGAGAATTGGGTTTAAATACCCCTCCTGTGGATCTGATTGGCGGTGACCAGCTTTTGACCCCAAATCAATGACCAGGTTTCAAATTGCATGATTGCTGCTTTACACAAACCCTCCTGTGGATCTGATTGGCCATGACCGGCATTTGACCCCAAAAGCAATTAACAGGGTTCCATGTGCATGATTGCTGCTCGGCACAACTTTTCCTGTCAGGACAGTAAATGCCATTAACCACATTTTTATGTGCGGATGAATATGTGACAGGGGGAATCCATTCACCCTTCATCTCTCAGCGCAGGAAGTGTTCTAAAAAGTGATTCCAAACCTCGGACGCCATTTTTAAAGAGGGCAGCAGTCCATAAAACATATAAAAGAAAAAGGGCATAGGGAAAATTACAGATATATGATTAAAACTCAGAGAATAGAAGAAAGTGTTTTTAAGTATCTCAAAATACCCTATGAGGGTTCATAATTAAAAAAAAAATTCTCATAACATATAAATACTATTCGCCTAAAACATACTGATAATACTTTTATAAAATAATTATAAATGGATACCAATCTAAAATGTATAATATATAAGGTGCATTTATTATAAGAACTTCGAAGAACTTTTGAATTGATCTCAAAGTCAATATTAAGAGATGCTGCTAAAAAATTGAGCATCCAGGAGATCAAAAGGATTTTTGAACTACGCACTATGCTCCAAAAGGTCTTAACATTGACTTTGAGATCAATTCAATTATAAAGACATATATACATAAAATGCATCTTCTAAGTTCTTATGATAAATGCAGCTTTTATATATCACATATATTAAATTGGTATCTATTTATTTATTTTATAAAAGTATTATCAGTAAGTTTTAGGTGAATAGTATTTATATGTTATTAGAGTTTTTTTTAATTATGAACCCTCTATCTTTTCAGATACTTAAAAACACTTTCTTGTATTTTCTGAATTTTTTATTACATATCTGTATTTTGTCCCTATGCCCTTTTTCTGTTAATATATTTTATGGACTGCTGCCCTCTTTAAAAATGGCACCCGAGGTTCAGACGCACTTTTTAGAACACTTCCTGCACTGAGAGATGAGGGGTGAATGAGTTCCCCCTCAGTAAAGACGGAAGCAACTTCACAGCAGATGGTTGTCACAGGAAGTGGCGCAATGGCCTCTCTGAACAGCTGCGTTATGAAATACAGAAGACTGAAGCACTCAGAGGATCCAAAAGTTTAGCGTACATATTAGGAGGGGTATGGACTATGTCCATGAACCGGATACGTCACCATATTGGATGTGGCAAGTTGTGTCTGGTCCCGACCATATTTGGCAAAGGGAGGGTTTTCTTTTAATATGTACACATGTGCAAGCTATTCATTTAGTATTTGGAGGGTATAAAATGATGCCTATGGGCATTTGTAAATGTACCTGTACCTGAGGAAGACCCATTTATTGGATTGAAACGCAATGTGCTAATATTTAATTTATTTCTATGTGTTACTAATACATTTATATACTTACTTTTACCTTCTCTGGAAAGTTCCTGATACAAGCAACACTATATCGTTAGGACTTCCATATTTGGAGTAATTAATCCTGTGTCCTTGAGGTGACACTAAAGCCCTATAAGTTCAGAGCCAACTTTTAAGGGCTCTGAAAATTATGAGTGTTCCTATTCTAATACATCTATTTTTCACATTGTGTTTACAGACTACACTGTGAGGCAGAAATAGAAAAAGGTCCAGGCACTCCAGGATACAAAAAGGCAAATTTATTGAACCCACTGTGAGGCAGAAATTGAAAAAGAATCCAGGCACTCCAGGATACAAAAAGGCAAATTTATTGAACCCACCGCCACTCACAACGTTTCGACTTGAACGGTCTTTGTCAACCTTGTTAGTTTTTGGTATCTCTAATAGGAGCATATTCATAATTTCTTACAAAATGTCTAGCGTTGGTGGATGTTCTAAACATATAATATCTCCAACCATTATTAATTTTTTGTGTCATCCACCACAAAAAAGCCATTAGGTGTTTTACTGCATCTCTTATGAAAAGCTGGATTATAAATGATAGGTATCATTTGGAAATTAAAAGTTAAATATTCAATAATAAGTATATAATCATCCCTTTTTGACTCTGACACTTTTTACTTGGTTTGTAAATAATATCAACATTAAGTGGCTGTTCCCTAGCCTTCAATTATCTTTTTACCCATTAATAATCTTTATTTTGGCTCTTTGGACAAAACTCTGAATCACAAATCAAATGAACATGCTCAGCCATTGGGCAAGTAATTTGTTTGGTTATACATCAAAATTCAGAAAATTGCAGGTTTGCAAAAATTACTATACAGATCTAATGCTTAGTTAAACATTCCTTTTTATTTTGTCCTTATGATAGAGTAGCAGAGTCAATAGTGATTAATAATAATAAAAAAGAAAAGAAAATCAAACAAAAACAAACCATAACTCCACACACCATAACCATTTCAGCTTATTACACTGGTGATGGAGTCAGATTTCCTAGTGCTGCCCAAACCATAGTGCTGTCTGTCAATCAGGGAGCTAAGATTTATATTTCCTGACTTACCTGCCAAATCACAAATTAAAAGGGACATTCTGCTCCCTTGGAATGATTGCTTACAAGTCCAAAGACTGTGGTTGACTCCAATGATTAGCATTATGTGTGGTCACACACTCAGCATCATTTATCACAGAGATGGGACAGACATTTGGACTTGCAAGTGCTCACATGCAAGTCTCACCGCATTACAATGCCATTAATTGTGAGAACCACAAAGTGAAATTCCCTGCTCTTCATTTAATAGAGCTTTTAAGCAGAGATCTGAGGTTTCTTTCTAAATAATTATATTAATTTAAATAAATATAATAAACTATGGTCCTTATGGTCCAAATTTATAAAAAAAACAACTAATTTGGACATATTCAAGCTCTATATCTCAGTAATCTAGAACTCAGAAATGGCTTTAAACACCTTTCAAATCAAATAAATCAGTACTTTCTATCCCCCCAGATAGGAATGAGATGGATGAATGATATTATCATTGTTAAGCATCACCAAATCATGATCGCAAATATTAAATGTCAATATTCATATAGCCGTTAACTTGATAATGATGTACTGTATGCTTATTA